AACATTTTCGAGACTAGTTAAATGGTTGTGAACAGATAGAAATGTGGACAGTAAAAGCCATGCAGATGATGAGGTCTCAGATAGAAATGAGGAACTTATTAGGAATTGGACAAAAGATAACCCTTGCTACACCGTAGCAAGGAACTTGGCTGCATTGTGTCCATGCCTTTGGACTTTGTGGAAGGTAAAACTTAGGAGTTGTGAACCAGAGTATCTGGCAGAAGAAACTTCTAAGCAGCGAAGCATTAAGGAAGCTGCATGCTTACTTGTAACAGCCTACTCTGAGTTATGGCAGCAAAGGCATGATGTAAAGCCAGAATTTAAAAGGGAAGCAGAGCGTAAAGATTTGGAAAATTTGCACATGGGGTAGAGAAGCAGAAAGCAGGAGAAAAATGCAAAGGTGAAGCAAATAAACTGGTAGCTAAAGACATTAGCTTGGTGGTGAGGCAGTCAAATACTAGTAACCAGGACAATGAGAAAAAAGCCCTAAAGGCACTTGAGAAGTCTGGAAGGGTGCCCCACCCATCACAGGCCCTGATGCTTAGAAGGACTGAGTTGTCCTGGAGGACAGACCTGGCATGCAGCTCCCTTCATCCCAGCCACTCTGGCTGGAGCAGCCCTGCCTCAAGTGTGGTTCATGCAGCAGCTCTGGAGAGTAGAAGCCTGAAATCTTGATGGTGTTCATGTTAAGTCTGCAGGCCAACAGAACATAAGAGCAATGGAGGTGTGGCAGCCTCCACCCAGATTCCAGAGGATGTTTGGAAAGCCTGGGGGCCCAGACAAAGACCTGCTGCAGGGGCAGAGCCACAGCAGAGGTCATCTACTAGAGCAATGCTGAGCAGGAAAGTGGGGTTGGAGCTCCCACAGAGAGCCTCCACTGGGGAAACATCTAGTAGAGCCAAGGCAGTGGGGCTGCCACCAGGACCCCAGAACAGCAGGGCCAATGGCAACATGCAACGCAGGCCTAGAAAAGCTGAAGGCTACAGTGCAGTCCCATGGGAGGAGTGAGGCTGCCCAAGCCTTTGGGGGCCCAGATGCCCCATTGTGCCCAGGATGCAGGACTTGGAGTCAAAGAAGATTATTTTGGAGTTTTAGGACATAATATCTGCCCTGATGGGTTTTGGACTTGTATGGGGCCTGTTTCTCCTTTCTTCTGACCTATTCCTCCCTTTTATAATGGTAATGTGTACCTAATGTCTGTTCCACCACTGTAGCCTGGCAGTAGATAAGTTTGTTTTTGATTTTTACAGGTTCAAAGCTAGAAGGACTTTTGCCCTTTGGTCTCAGATGAGATTTTGGACTTTGGACTTTTAAGTTTGTGCTGGAACAAGCTAAGACTTTGGGACTGTTGGGATGGAATGTTGTACATGAGAGGGACATGAGTTTTGGGGGGCAGGGGTAGAATGATAGAGTTTGGATGTGTGGTACCCCCAAAACTCATGTGGAAATCTGATCCCCAATGTGGCAGTGCTAGAAGCTGTTTGAGTCATGAGGGTGGATCCCTCACAAATGGATTAATGCTCTCCCTGGGGGAGGAGGGGTAGTGACTGAGTTCTTACTCTTTTAGTTCCTGTGAGAGTTGGTTGTTTAAAAGACCCTGGCACCTCCCCTCTCTCTCTTGCTTCCTCTCACCATGTGATCTGCTTGTACCTGCTGACTGCCTGCCTCTTCCTGCCATGAGTAGAAGCAGCCTGAGGCCTATGCCAGACCACCTGTCCCAGAATCATAAACCAAATAAACCTCTGTTCTGTTCTTTATAAATTACCCAGTCTCAGGTATTTCTGTTATAGCAACACAGACAGACTAAAAGAGTTTCTAAAATAAAACAGGAGGGCCAGCCCGTGGCTCACTCGGGAGAGTGCGGTGCTGATAACACCAAGGCCCCGGGTTCGGATCCCATATAGGGATGGCCGGTTAGCTCGCTGGGTGAGCGTGGTGCTGACAACACCAAGTCAAGTGTTAAGATCCCCTTACCGGTCATCTTTTTAAATAAATAAATAAATAAATAAATAAATAAATAAATAAATAAATAAATAAAATAAAACAGGAGAATATGAAGGAAACATATTTTGAGGGAAGGCAAAGATTTATTAAGACACAGAAAGTAATAACTGAATACAAGAAAAATGATAAAATATACTACACCAAAATTAAAGCCTTCTGCTCATCAAAAGGCCATATTAAATAAATGAAAATGCATGCCACAGACTGGGAGGAAATATTTTAAAAACATGTATGATGATATACAAGTATCTACTATATACAAAGTGCACCTACAACTCAATATCAAAAATGTAACAATTGCTGTATACTATTTACTATGTATACTAGACAACAATGAAATTAAAAATAACAATGAGAAAACAGATGTTTAATCAATAAATATTTTTAAATCATTAAAAAACACAGCCACTTCACAAAGATAACAAATGGCCAATAAATCAATCAAAAAGTGTTCAGTGTTATTTCTTATCAGGGAAATGCAAATTAAAACCACAAAGTGTTATCAGTACACACCCACCAGCATGGCTAATTGAGAAAGACCAAGATCAACCAATGTTAGTGAGCATGTGGAACTGAACTGCTACACATTGTTACTGAGTATGTAAAACAATACAACCACTTACTGAAATGATCTGCAGGTTTCTTACAAATATAAACATTTACCTGACTACTCTATGACCCAGCAATTTCACTCTTAGATATTTACCCAAAAGAAATAAATATATACGCATATACCCACAAAAAAACTTGTACAGGAGTGTTTATAGCAGGTTTTTTTCGTGGTAACCAAAACCTGGAAACAGCCCAGGTGTCCATCAACAAGAGAATGGAAAAACTGTGGTATATTCACACAATGGAATACTATCCAACAATTACAAGAACAAAATACTGATCGATGCTACACTATGGATGAGCCTCAAAAAATCATGCTGAGAGACAGAAGCCTTACTTAAAAGAGTTTATACTGTATGATTCAATTTACATGAAGTTCTCGAATAGGCAAATCTAATGTATGGTGGGGAAAAAATCAGAATGGTTATTCTTTCTGTGGAGGTGAAAGTGGGGATTGACTGGGAAGGGGCACAAGAAAACTTGCAGAGGTGATGGCTACGTCGTGATAGGGTTATACAGGTGTATGCATTCAGTAAAATAAGATTTCTGTGCTTCAGATATGTAAATTTCATCTCACAAAAAGAACTGCAAACAAATATTTAACTCTAGCTAATGAGATGCATGCTGAAGGGTTCAGGGGTGAAGAATACTAATAATGTCTGTAACGTACCTTAAAATGCACTAAAAACTAAGGTGGATTGATAGGTGGAGAGAGGATTGGAAAGATGTAGATGTGTGATAAAACCAACAGAACAAATGTAAATTGAAGAATGTAGGTGGTGGTAAATGGGTAGTCACATAATTCTTTCGAATTTCTGTATGTTTGGTGATTTTCATAATAAAATGTTGGGACAAAATTACTAGCTTTGTGATCTTAAAATAAGTATAATTTTTCTAGGTACAATTTTTTTCTCTCCTAAAATAATGAGAAAGACTATCTTTTATCTCTATAAGTCCCTCCAGCTATATGATCAAATTGTGGCCTCTGCCTTGAATCTACATGGCAATTATAGCCAGATTCTGATTGCATTTCCTTCCTAATAGTCCTAGAATAATATTGAAATGTGCGTGCCCTGTCTAATTATATCTTATAACTTTTTTATCATCATCACGTTTTCAAAGGTGTATATCTACCTTATCAAATTCCCAATGCTATATATTTTTTGCTGTTGTCAACTGGAAACATCACTCTTTTTTGGGCACCTATCACATTCTGTGATAATGTCTTCTGCCATTTTGTACTGAAGAGCTTTCTACTAAGATAATTCACATCAGCCTATTAAATTAATAGTTAACCCTCTCTCCTTTTCTTATTAGATTACCTTTGCCCAATCATATAATGTTAATACAATAAACAATTAAAGATCAGTATTTACCACCCACCCATTTTAAGTTTTAATGTCTTCTGGGCAAATAAATAAAATACTATTTGTGTGCTTTACTTATTTCTTTTCCTAATTTTGACATCAGTAGTCAATGTCATTTTCATCAGATAACAATCAAATGAAGAACTGCATGAACCTTTGAAGCTGCAAGCATTCATTCACACAAACACATACGATTCCATCTACAATTTTAGGAGGTTCAGAGGCTCCTACAGCTCATCTATGATCCATGTTACATACCTTCATCTCAGCTCTCTTTATGAAAGAGTACACCAAGGAAAACAAGAATGGGTCAGAGTGTTAAATATAACTAATTGGGATGAACTATATCATTTCAGCCTAAGGCAAAAACAAAATTTTTATTTTAGACAGCCTCTGATTTCCACAGGACAAGGAGGCAAGAGAGGCTAATAAGGGCATCTTAGTCATGCTGCAGATGTGAGGGGTTGTGCTGTGGAGGCAGTTGCTTCCCAGGACAGCATACTTTTCAGAATGCTGTGAAGCACACTTTGCTGCTTAGAGACCCCTGATGCCTCGGCAGCTCTTCTAGGGAAATGTGGCATTCCCGCAGCATCGGTGAAAGATCTGGGCCTTCAGAAAATCCCCCAGGACTCTGAGCCAGAAGCAGAAACGCATGGAACTAGATGAGATGACTTGTTTATGGAGCAACATGGTGAAGCAGCTCCTTGCAAGAGCTCTGGCTCCTGGAGTACAACTTCTGCAAGCCAGAAGGCAGCACGTTCCCTCCACTTTCATCCACCACACACCAACACACCACGAGGGGCATTTATTGGAGGACAGATGTCCTGGGGGAATGGAATTTTCACAGCCTAGACTAACTCAGCTTATCTTCAACCCCACATTTACTGGACAGCTACAAGAGAATTAATTACTGTGGTTTTCCCACGCCTCCTACTCCCAATCCATTCTGATAGTATTTACTGTGAGGAAAAAGAAAAACAAATAGCTCTTTTGGGGAAAGAACTTGACCATACTTACCTAGAAGTAATTTAGGAAAATTTGATGTTTCAATATTATGATAATATACTATTGATGTCGTAGTGGCAACGAATCCCATCACGGCCGGCATGAAGAGATGGAGATGGCGCGACTCCCGGCGCCTATGGAGAGCAGTACAGAGTCAGTGTCTACAGCTGACACTTCCAGAGTTCCTCATTTTTTTACCTTTTTTTCATTAAAACTCTGTCTTAGTAATAAGATGTTGAAAATACAGAATGCAGTAGTAGTTGCTAAGAAAATATGGAAGGGAGGAATATATTGAGAGACACAATTCTGTGCAAGGGATTTATTCTAACATGGAGGGCTGGGTAAACACAGCTAAACTATAAAGTGCTTACAAGAAAAATACATGTGTAATTACTCTCATACTGAAGGGCAGAACTGCTGAAATAATTTAACAACTAAGCAATAAAAACAATCCACTGACTCTGAATTCTAATGTGTGGGAAAAGTATGTTTATTCCTTTGTCAGCTTTCCCAAACTTTATGGTCTTCAGTGATTTCTTCATTCCCATTAATTTATTCAGTGCTAATGTACTGCTGGTCCAGACACTGTAATAGGTTCTGGGATGCAGCAATGAACAAGACAAGATATAGTATCTGTGGTCACCAAGTTTAGGGTCTATTGAGGATATCAATAGCAAATAAAAAATTATAACACTGATGAAGGGACAGCAAGAGCACACAGGGCTCAAGTCTGGGACAGAGAAAACTTTGTGAAGGATGTGACTTCTAAACTGAGACTTTGATAATGATGAACTGCTCCCCAGAAGAAGAAAAGAGGAAGACCGTTCCAGGCAAAGGGTCCAGGTATGTTCAAGGGTATTGCAAGCAATTCAGTACGACTGCAAGGAGACTGCTTCATTCTGAGGGCAGCAGAGAGCTCCAAGTGAATAGGAGATGTGACAGACCCAGATGTGCATGGTAGACAGTCCTCAGCTCCATGTTCATTAATAATGCCACCTAGGCAAACCTTTGACTTTTCCCACATTCCTCAAATATATTAGTACATAATGGTATAAAGAAGAGCATGACCTGTCTAAGAGTGAGGGAAAAAGGAACATTTGAGAAAGTCATTTCAGAAGAGGTATGGTTGACACTGGGAAGTGAAAACGAAAAGGGATCCCCTAGTCAGGAAAGTGGTGGACAGGCACTTTAAAAAGGGGGAGCAGAACGTGCTAATATATAGAAGCATGAAAGAGTGTAACATGCTCAAACTTTCAAATAGCTTAATACTCTTGAAAAAAAAGTTTAAGATAGGACGTACCATGAAAGGATTTGTATGCCACGGTAAAGGGTTGGAATCTCATCTTGCAGAAAACTGAAACATGTTAACAGGTAGATGGTATGACCAGATTTCTGTTTTAAATGGCTCACTCTGGCAGTAATGTGTATGATGGAGTTCAGAGGTAATACCCATGCTCCTTGACTTACAATGGGGTTATGTCCTGATAAACCCATCATAAATTGAAGACATTGTAAGTTGAAATGTATTTAATACACCCAACCTATTGAACATCGTAGCTTAGCCTGCCCTACCTTAAACATGCTCGGAACACTTACATTAGCCCACACTTGGGCAAATCATCAGCACAAAGTCTATCTTATCAGAAAGTGCTGAACCTCTCATGTAATTTATTGAATATTATATTGAATGTGAAAAACAGAATGGTTACATGGGTACTCCAAGTACGGTTTCTACTGAATGTGTATTGCTTTCACACCATCGTAAAGGCGAAAAATCGTAAGTGGAACAATTGTCAGGAAGTGGAACCATTTAAGTTAAGGAGCAGCTGTATGTGGGATTGTGGTGAGGGGAGGAAATGAAAGAAAAGCAGTCAGGAAACCATGGGTACAGGTCACGTGACGAAGGCCAGATTTAAGCTTTGGCAGCAATAACATGAAAGAAATAACACACTTGGAAGATTAATTGTTAAAACGGGCAGGACTTTAATAGTGTTAGAGTATGAGGGTAATGGCAGTGGAGAGGTAGAAAATAATTCCTAGAGTGTCTGGGTGGGTGCTTGTGTGACCAAATAAGATTTTTAAAAGACGAGCAGAGTAGAGAGAGAAGCTAAAAAGTTTCAGTAGGGATGCGTGGATTGTGAAGGTGTCTAATATACATGCAAAAAGAATTGCCTAACAGATAAGTGTACACAGAGATTTAGAACATGATCAGTGATATAGTTTGGAATCATTACTACAGGTATGATAACAAAAATGTGACAGTTCTATGATAGCGCTTAAAAAACGCCCACTGCCTCCCAGAAATAGTTCAAAATGGTCAAAGGAAAACATAGTAGATAAATATTCCATCAGTACAAAAATTAGGAAATGCTTCTAATACTCCCTGATTATTTAATCAAAGAGAGAACGCAAAAGTCACTTACTGAATATTTAGGAAATTTACAAATGAGTACATTCTCTATCAAAGCCTGTAAAAACGTGTGGTCACAACCATACCCAGGAGAAAGTTGATAGCCTTAGATGCATTCAACAAGAAATAATTATAATAGATAAATTAAGTAGCCAATTCTAGAAATTAGAAAAAGAATGACAAGGCCGGCCCGTGGCTCACTCAGTAGAGTGCGGTGCTGATAACACCAAGGCCACGGATTCGGATCCTATATAGGGATGGCCAGTTTGCTCACTGGCTGAGCGTGGTGCTGACAACACCAAGCCAAGGATTGAGATCCCCTTACCAGTCATCTTTTGAAAAAAAAAAAAGAAAAGAAAAAGAATGACAAAACATCAATAAGAAAAGCAATAATAAAGAATTGGTAAAGATAACAGCAGGTAGAGTAAGGCTTTATACTTATTGTGGCATCTCTTTATTAGGACTTTAAAGTGTCTTTTAACCATGCTAGTACTTCTGTTAGGATTTTTATTATTCTGTTAGTTCTCTATTTACAAATTTGCGTAGGTTTTGAGTGGTTTCCCAACCTTATTTTTTCCATTAAGCTTTGTTTTTTTTAGAGTATGATTTGCAGACCTCAATGGCTTGGTAAGGGTGCATATGCACCATTATAGCAGAAAATCTTTAGTCAGAAAGTTAGAAAGAAGATTTAAAAAGCACTACATTACGGAGGTTGAAAGAATAATTTTTAAAAGAAAAAATAATAAAAATAAAAACATAAATAAAAGGT